TGCAGGTACGAGTACTAACAATCCTGCTGCAGGTTCAGTCACTAACAATCCTGCAGGTTCTGTCACTAACAATCCAGCTGGTTCTAATATTAACAATCCTGTTGCTGTTTCTGTCACTAACAGTCCTGCAGGTTTTAATATGAACAATCCAGCTGGTTCTGATATTAACAATCCTGCTGCTGGTTCTGTCACTAACAATCCAGCTGGTTCCAATATGAACAATCCTGCTGGTTCTGTCACTAACAATCCAGCTGGTTCTAATATTAACAATCCTGCTGGTTCTGTCACTAACAATCCTGCAGGTTCTAGTACTATGAATCCTGCGGCTGGTTCTGTCACTAACACTCCTGGTTCTAATACTAAGAATACCTCTTGTTGTAATAGCACTGTTTCACCAGAAAGTGCTCCTGATAAGTGATGACAAGTGAAATTGCTCCTGCTGAGCACTCAGTGTCATAATCACTCTACTGAACGACAGACAGTCTGTTAACCTTCCTTCAACCTCTTCAACTATTCAGAGGTTTCAGGGTGTCTGCAAAGTTACAGTGCTACAACATGCTGAAATACACAACTTTTTTAGGCTCTGAAAATGTCTAATTAGGCCAATTAAGGGTTCACTTAGATAATTGAAAACTCAGTTGGTAAGTCCAGAGAACACTTGTATTCACACTCATACGGACACACACTTAAACTCACACTGAAACACACTCACCTTAAAACACACTGTTACTCACACACTGACACTGACAAACACAATGAGATTCACACACTCACACAGACACAAACTGATACTCACACTGACAAACACAATGACATTCACATACACACTGTCACAGACACATACACTGACACACACACTGATGCTCACACACTCACATTGACACACTCACACTGACACACATTGACACTGACACACTGAAACACTTACACACTGAAACACACTCACCTTAAAACACACTGATACACTGACACACATTGATATACACATTCACACTGACACATACACTGATACTCACACATTCACCTTAAAACATACTGATATTCACACAATGGCACTGATACACATTCACATTAAAACACACACTGATATTCACACAATGAAACGCACCTTAACACACACTAATACTCACACTAACACACATCAATATACATACTCACACTGACATATACCCTGATATTCACTGAAACACACTCGCACCGATAGACACTCATTAAAACACACACTGATACTCCTACTGACACACATTCAAACTGACACATACTGATACTCACACACTGACACTGATATACACTGTGCTTATCTGGGGCGCAGTGTGTTTGTTTGGGGTAAAGTGTATGTGTTTGTGGAGCAGTGTGCGTTTGTTTGGGGTTCAGTGTTTGTGTCTGGGGAGCAGTGTGTGTTTGTCGGGGGTACAGTGTTTTTGTCTGGGGTGCAGTGAGTGTGTTTGGGATGTAGTGTGTGTGTGTCTGGGGTACAGAGTGTGTGTCTGGAATGCAACGCGTGCTCGTCTGGGGTACAGTGTTTGTGTTTGTGTTTGGGGTGCAGTGTGTAAGGGAACTACAGAGCTTAGCAGAGTAAGGAAATGGGGACCCCTCGCCTAGACTGTTCAGTCTTGCAGTGGTGAATCACAGTCCCTGATCCAGTGGGACATGACGAGGAATATGCACAAATTGTACATCAAACAGAGGGGATATTTAAACAAATATGTAACTAAACTGGAAACCAGTTTAGAGACTTTGAAGTGGGAGTGATCAAGGAGTTGGGCAACATTCTTGTACCATCCGGTACAACGAGATCAGGGTAAAAGCACAGTCCAGTGCAGTTAAGTCCTGTCCCAGTGAAAACTGTCTTCTCTTGGTGAACACTGTCCCAGTGAACACTGTCCAGTCTCAGTGATCACTATCCTGGTGAACACTGTCCTGTCCCAGTGAACTCTGTCCTGTCCTGGAGTACACTGTCCCGTCCCAGTGAACACTGTCCCATCCCAGAGAACACTGTCCTGTCACAGTGAAAACTGTCCTGTCCTGGTGGACACTGTCCTGTCCTGGTGGACACTGTCCCACATACACTAACAGCTGGTGGCTGGGATCCCAAGCGCCCCTGCAGCCCAAGTGGACAGAGTCCAGCTGCAGCGCCAGGCGTCTGCGGCCCATGTGTGTCTGTCTGAGAGTGCTGGCGCGCGCAGGGTTAACAGAGAGCGCGCTGCTGTGAGCGGATATTGCCGAGCGAGAGAAGGTGGCTGGGAGCCAGGTCTCCATAATCACATCATCTCCCTTTATTAAATTTTTCTGTGCTGCCTCTCCGTTATTAAAATCTCCCGGCGTTCCCCGCGACACACACACACACACTTATAGACACTCGCTCTCTCCTGCACACACACACACTCTCGACGAGACGGCTAGGAAACGAGGTCCTTGTTCCACACTCCCTCAGCCCTTGGTGTAAAGAGGTGGCCCCTGTTCTGAGTTTCAAACGTACTTTCACACAGTCTCTACTGGAGTTCTGTGGTTCATGTTTCACTGTGGATTCTGAAGAAACTCCCTGGATTGGCTGTGTCGATGCCATTGAGGATTTTACATAAGTGTGTCAAGTTCTCTCACAATTCTCTCTGTTCAGGACTGAAGAGATTGAGTTCCTTTGTCCTGTCAGAATACAACATATCTTTGAGCCAGGGAATCTAATGTACCTGCTTTTTCTGCTCTGGACTCATTCCCTACACCTCCTGTATGTGCCGATGTCTGTACACAGAGCTCCCTTTTTGCTTCAGATTGTGATGTGTGTAGCTTTCTTTACTTTGTGTTTGTCTGTGTGAAACAGTCTATGTGGGAGCACAGAGCTGTCTGTTTTATATCTGTGTGTTTGTGTGTCATTCTGTGAATTTCTGTGTGTACACCCAGAGCTTTCGTTGTCTGTTTTGAGTTTGTTTGTGTGTCAGCCCCTGCGTATGTGAGCTCAGAGAGCCCGTGGTCTATTTTGTGTGTGTCTGGCCAATTTTTGTGTGTGTGTGTACCTAGATCTTCCTTTGTCTATTATGAGTGTGTGTGTGTGAGAGAGAGAGTCTCGAAGTGTTAGTTTAGATAACATATCTAATCCCCAGGCCCTCCAGAACGCAATATCCTGTTTCGGGGTTTCTCATTTCCTGTCAGAGTGTGTCTGGGAGAGCGCGAGGGAGGGGGGAGGGGCTGGCGGGAGGTGTTGCCACGGAGACGGGGTATGCGCTGCACTCTGTGGAGAATGTGCTGTCTCTCTCCTCTCTCTGGTACCGTCCGACTTCGGCTTTCCACCCCTTTCTGTCTCGTCCCCTGTCTTCTCACCCCCTCCCGATACTTTTCCTTCCCCGAGATTTAATAACGACGGGACGAGCGGTGTGCTTCGTCATGAAACATTTATTAGCCGGCTCTAATTAAATTGTTGTTTGAGCGCGGGGGAGGCGAGGTGAGGGAGCGTCTCTCAGAATATGCAAAGCAGCAATATAAGCAGAGACCAGGGTGTCATTACTCTCTCTCTGTCCTCGTTTTCCCCTCACTTCTCTCTACTGTTGTTCACAGCAAAACCACTTCAAATCCAAAACAGAGATGCTCACAATTGCCTGTTGGATACATATTGTTTAGGTAAACTCTTTTTAAGTATGCTATACTATTTGCATTGTGCTATGTTTAAAATCTGGGTCTTAACAATGCTTACCAGGGGTGTATATACTGTATATACTGTACGCCTGACATATACACTGCACACCTGGTGTGTATACTACTAACACTGCACTCCTGGTGTGTACACTGTTCACACTGCACTCCTGGTGTGTACACTGTTCACACTGCACTCCTGGTGTGTACACTGTTCACACTGCACTTCTGGTGTGTATTATACACAGTACACACTGCACTACTGGTGTGTATTATACACAGCACACACTGCACTTCTGGTGTGTATTATACACAGTACACACTGCACTTCTGGTGTGTATTATACACAGTACACTTTGAACTGGGCAGAGGAGGTAGTTACTTGACCGTCAGTGTCAGCCTGAAAGGGGAAGAAGGAGAGACAGATGTCTGTACACAGAACATTTACACCTGTATTCTCCCCCACATGGTGGTGAAGTTCTGGAGCTTCACCTCGATGTGGCAGGTTATCAGCTGAAGAGCTGTGTGTCTTGCAGTGCCCAGAGGCTGTTCTTCACTTGTCTTTCCCAAATTAGCCAACATGGATGAAAGAAACGAACAGAGAAATGGATGCAGCTGTATCAAAATGTCATTTCTGTCTGCTCAGGAGAGCAGCTGTCCTCGTGGTGTGACAGTCCTGTATCCTAACCACTGGACCAGCTGTCCTCCTGGTGTGACAGTCCTGTATCTTAACCACTGGACCAGCTGTCCTCCTGGTGTGACAGTCCTGTATCTTAAC